AGTACTGTTTAACCTGATTACTAGAGAATTATCATAGCTTAGATACAAAAAATAATTAAGAACTATACTAAGAATAACAAAAAAAAACATTTAAAACTGCACAAGCCAGTTCTGTTACAGTGGGTGACAAAGTATAGGTATTGTACATTGAAAGGTGATTACTAAATGACTGTGCTTGACAATTTGTGGTGTTGGTAAGTTTGTTGCAGTGATTTACTACAATATGAGCCTATGCTGATGTGAGTGAGTAACTAAAATCATGACACAATTTCTTTAAAATAAAGGAAACTGGCCAACAAGTGAACTTTCAGTGTTCACAGCTCAGTGATGTTTATAGTGGGAGACAGGGTTAGCTTTAAGGGTTTGTCACTATCTTCTGGAGTCTGTCTTCGTTTTTCATTAAAAAGACATAACTGCCAAGTCTTCCATATTCATCAGGAGACTCCCAATCTAAGAGCTTGATCTCCCTCCCCCTGATTATTTAGATTGTCAACATTAACATATATTTTATCTATATATATATAAATTATTCTTTTTTTTTTTATCTGACCTGCTTTTAAGTCAAACAGGCAGATTCGATATGTACAAGGAACTGAAAAGGGGAAGATATGTCATTTTCCCTGGGAGTTGCATCAAAGTTTGGTCTTGGTGAGAATTATCCAAGAGTCCTTAAATTAGAAGCACATTTAGCTAATGCTGTGATAAAAAGAATGAATAACTCAATGTATTGTACATTCCACATTTCATTATGAAAGGTCAGTCTGTGTATTTTGTGATAGACATGCCTACTGGGAAAGGCACTACAGCAAACTCCAATAGTAATGTATCTAAAAAGTTGAAGATGCAAATCTAACGATATGTCCGCTGAGGCCTATGTAGCTTCCTTTGCTACCTTGTCAACAACCAAGGCAAAAATTTTATTCAAAACCAGACTTCACCACTCACATACATTAAGGTATCTATAATATATATCTTGTGTGAGATAGGTCCTGGATAATGGCTAGCTGCATCGACACTGCCAGTAGTGAAACAAAAGAATATGGCACTGACATCATCAACAACAAATTCAGAAACAGATGTTTCAGAAGTAAAACAAGAATATACAAATGGACTTTCTAAATCTGTACCAACTTGGGCTGCATTAATTCCTTAATTACTGCAACTTGAATAATGACAGATGTAGTTGTTGTACCTCCATTGACCTGACATTCACTTGGGGTTCACAATGACTTATGAGAGCACAAAATATCAATGTTGCAGTAGTGGGAGAATGAAAGCCAACAATAATTACACTAGACTCACAGTTTTATGAAAAAGCACAGAAGCTAATGTCAAGAGCTGATATGAGAGAAAAGTTTATCATCCATATTGGTGAATTGCACACTATCTTCTCTTCCCTTAAGGCACTTGGATGATAATTGAAAGTAGTGGAATTGACCAGCTCTGGTTTGAAGCTGAAATGTATTCCCCTACAACAGTCACACAAATTATAGAAGGGAAACCTTTATATGGAGCATATGGTAACACTTATTACAATAAATAGGCTATTGATTCCTTCCCTTTGGGAATAAGGTGTTGTGTATAAGTCTAAAAGCAAGGATATCATGAACAGATATGATCTTCCGAAAATATATGCAAAGATAATAGCTGAAATAGAAAAAATTTAGTATTTTAGCAGTCTGGACAAGTTTGACCAGCAATGTAAATGAATGCAATCATTTATACAGAACTATTTTTAGGCAGTTTGGTCATCATGAAATTCCCAGTGGCATTTGCATTTTGCTGCACTGGAGAACTTGTAAGTACTTCTTTACCAGGCTTAGCCCTTTCTACTGTGCTGAGATGCAGAATCTAGAAAGTAATGGCCCTCAAATGTGGATAGCTTTGGAAGATGGTGGTTTCTACATAATCAAAAGCACTATTTTATTTTGTTCCACTAGCCCAGACCATGGAATTGAAGTGAATGGGATCAACATGATGAAATGGTTTAAAAAAAAAAGCATCATGATATGACTGGTACAGTTTTCCAGAATACAAAAAGATGAGAGATGTCTTGGAAATTCCTTTACAGATCATTCAAGTGAGGTAAATCTATTAACAAAGACTAATAACAAAGGAAGTGCAAGACCACCTCACAAGAAGACATCAGCTCTGACAGGAAGCAGTATTGTCTTTCATAGCCAAGCAAATAGTAAAGGAAGAGAAACCATTTTATGGGCCATTGAAAAAGATGTCACTTAACTATTTAAAAACAGTAACAAGCCAATGAAGACAAAGATAGGGAATAAGGTTATCATGTTGCACAAAGAAAGAAGCCTCCTAGCCTATGTTTTTAATAATAATGAGAAGCAGACCTGAAAGCAACGTGAAAGGAGCAACTGGACACTATGAAGATCTCTTTGTTTTTGTTCCTGATGGAGAGATGCTTCTAGCATATGATAAAGCTAGTATTCTACATGCCTTAGAAGACCTTCCAAAAGCAAAGCCAACAGTTCTATCAGAAGAGTCCACTGAACATCGATTATATCAACAAGCATCAGAAATGCCTTCTTCTGAACTATCAGAATAATGGATTAAACAATATACTGATTAAGGATAAATGGCTTTAGTGAATGCTGTACAAAAAATTGACACTATGAAAACATGTAAGAACTTTGCAGATGCCTTCACTTTCACTAAGAAAACTAGTCTTTGAATCCACAACTTATTCTGAGATTCATCTAATATTTGACAGATATATGATAAGACTCTTTGGAAAACAAAAATACACTAGAGGAAAATGGACTGCTGGGAAAGAAATAAGCTATTATGTCAATTACAATACTAGGTAGCCCTCATTGAAATGTTTGTACCCAATTTGTTTTCATTACCCATGTGTACTACATCTGGCTGTAAACAATCGAATCTGTGAAAACTTAGAATGTGCATTGTGTTTAGATGAACATGTGCCAAGAGCAGCCTTTTGTCCAATAGAAAACTTCATTAGTTGTTGCAGTGAAAGACACATGCCGAGCCAGAACAAGTCAAAAAAGATCAAGAGAGGTATTTTCAAAAAAATAATCTATTCAATGTCAATTGTTATAAGAGCCATCCATTGCTAATAATATTGAAATTTGATTTTATAGAACATTCTACTATCATATACCACATTATTTCATCTTGTGGACCAGCCATTTAACCACAAGATCATATTCAAACATGGTCCTTCATTTTTTTCTCACTCATTTGATCCAACTGTGGTAAACATTCCAAATTCTTTCAAATTGTCCTGTAAACATTGATCTAGACAACTTTAATTACAACATCTCAATTTTTCTGTTATTCGTTTAATTAAAAGTGATTACTGTTCCTGATTTAGCTCTGTAAATTTGCATAGGATGATTTTTGTATGCTCCAATAATATTTGGTGCGCCTTATGTAAGAGAAGTTTGGAGAGGGGGCATACTATGGGGCCATGCCTTGCTAAATATACTCTACTTGCAATTTATACATGTGCACCACTGAATTTCACAAACGTTTTACTAAATACAGTACTGCAATAGAGCATTAATTTGTCCAGAGGAGAACTCCATTTTCTAGGGGAAGGCCCCAAACCCCGAGCTCTCATACTGATAGTATAAATTGGATAATAAAAGATGTATTGCTTTAGTGGCAAATGACAAATGTTTGAATGATAAGAAGCATCTTAATTTTAATCAATTCAAAGTAGAATTGTATATTGTATTCTTACTTGGTTATCTTGCCAAGCTTGTTCACTTCTCATAGCAGCAAGAACCCTTTTACAATATTTGCTTGAGTTGGAAATATTTTTCTCTGGTGTGTTAGCAAAATTCTTCCAATGGTCTTATTTTTAAAAGCAGTTGTTAACTTATGATTTATAACAATTTTATTTCTTATTCCAAAGCTTAATTAATTTTTGTTGGGTAAATAATATACTAAGCTAGATATTGTTCATAAAATTTCACCAAACTTTGTTTACCTAAACTTAGAAATAAGGAGCTAGCTAATCATTATGGGTATTCTCTTCTAACTTTTCATTATGATCTATTATTTATTGTAGATACTTCTATTCAAGCAAGTATGAATTAAAAACATTTTGTCTGCTAAACTTCAGAATGATTGTTTGTTACTCATTTTTTAAAAAAGTTACTATTTGTGGGTTTAAGTAACTTGTCTTTAAAAATTGATAATGCAACACTTCAAAAACTCCATCTAAAAACTTACAATCTATATGATCTATCCCAATATATAATTCACTGCTGCCAAACTGTATTGAGATGTAGTCATTTACAATAACAGGGAATGCAAGTAAATATTTGCAGTGTAATAATACTTTCATTAAAATAAAGAATTAAGAATAATGTGCTTTTAGGGAGAACCTCAAAAAGAAGCATTTGAATAAGATAAATGACAATCACAGAGAATATTGTTGTCAACTATGTAAGAAATGTTGGTTAAAATGGCATTTCTAAATAACTCTCTTCCAAAATTTGTGTGTGTGAAAACCCAAAACAATTGGCTTATTCTGCATTTTTCATCAAAATCAATTTACAGATATGCTTATATGAAAAATCAGAAAAACAAATATAATAATAAATGTAATTTCCTCAACTTTGTAACCACAATAGATTTACAAAACCACAGTATTCAAAAACTATAATTTTTACAAAACCTCAAAGATTTTATTTCAACAAGCACACTATAATGTTTTGTGCACACCTGATGCTCAGCAGGCAATGCCAGCAACAAATATAATTGTAAAATTTAATTTGTATTTTGTCACAAAACAAACACGTAACTAAAGCTTAATCAATTTTTTTTAAATATCTGTAAGGACTATAGACAAGTGATAGGAATATGTTAATATTTAAAAGACAAAAATTCAGATACTTAAGTCGTTTTTTTTCTTCTTTTTTCCCTATGTAAAGAGATATTAATATTATTTGTAGTCTAAATCTGGTTTGAACTAGCAGCAACATGATTCAGTGAAACTCTGATAATGAAACAAAAATAGCCATAGACTGCTTTATTAAGAAAAGAAAAAACAATTTACTCCAATTTTTAAAATTTACAAACATTCTGTCTTATACCTATCCAAATGCTGGTTATTTCCTTTATGTAGATGATCATTATCTTTGGTCAGAAGTCATTTCTCAAACAGTCTTCGATAAATGTCTCTTTCCTTCCTCAGTAAATTCTTCAACTGTTGCTTACAGTCTTTGATACATTGTTTTATACCAGAATCTAAAAATAAAACATTTTTCTCTCTAAATATTTGTTTGGTAAACAGGATTATTCCATTTAAATAAAGCATTGCTGAAGACATCTAAAGAATGGTATACAGTATTTTAAGAAAGAACTAAACATAAACAAACTTACACTTTGGATTAATCCCACTGTGATACAAATATAATTTTTAATTAACAAAGAATAATTAAATAGTTCATTCTCTCCCCAACTGTTTTTACTGTAGCACCTTTGTTTTTCTTTTCTGTAATTGCAGTGCCTGAACATTGGCCTAGACAATAAGCAAATTTTAAATGAGGTTTGTTTACCTTTTAATTATTAAATATATCTGTTAGTTTAAATTGGTATGATCTATTTTCACTTAAGATGTAAATCAGAGTATTGAGAAAACTACCAATATGTGAAAAATACTGATTATCCTGAAATATTAGTCATGATGCCCTGGTTCTTAAAATGTTCATTACCTTTCTAATAATGGAACAGTGTGTGAATTACATTACAGGAACACTAATGATCATCTGAATCACATTTTTCTTTACTGGAATAAATGGATTTTCAGAATGAGAAATGTAATGTTTCACATTTCAACTACACTATTGTCAATAAGACTACATGTTAAATACCAGGGGCTCACAGGTTTGCTGGATTACATTTTAATCACATCCTTCTAGGCCAGTGAAATATGATGTAATTTAAATTCTTGTCTTATTATGACATAATATTGCACTAATTAATCACCAGTGGACCATGCTTCCCCAGCTCACACATTATAAACCACAAGGTATATTTTTATGTTAGTTCAGTTTCTAATAATATATGTAATAAACAGTTTGATATGAAAATGTTAAAATATAATTAGGCCTATCAGGACATAGAATACTACAAAAATTACACCTTAATGAACATAACCCCTTCACTTGACTTTATTTTCTTACAACAAACTGTCATGTCAAGGTCCACATTAAAACAAACACCGTCAAATGTTTATCGATTTGAAATTGCATGTATTTATAAAAAAATTCAAGTAAAAAAAATATAAACTTACAGGTGTTCTTCATGATAAAGTAACAATTTACAAAAAATATGTAACTATCAAACTACAGCTTGTGCTTAACCTGTTTCAAAGTTATTTGCTTTAACTTGTATGCATGTTAATTATAAAAGGGTAGATTTTTTTTAAATTCTACACACCATTAAAACATCAAAAAAGATGTTTAACAAGTAACCTCAATTTTTACAATGGAAAATTCAAACAAATAATTAAATCTAAGAAAAAAAAGGGTGGACACTTTAGAGTTCAAAGATTTTTATCTAATAACACATCAACTGCTTTTACCTTTATCTGCCTAAACTAGAATGGATTCAGGATTTCTTTATATGGTATCTTAATTGTACAAAGTGGAAGCTTCAAACAAGGGCCTAATAGCAACAGATGTGAACTGGTATGTTATTTAATCTGCAACATTATTTCATTGCAATTTCAAAGCTTTATAGGGCTCATAACAACATTTATTTTTTAGCTAAGCCAACTATAGAAATGAACAGAACCAAAATGCTAAAATGTTAATTTAAATGACAACCCAAGATCATTGAACTTGGCAATCATCCATTCCTTTATAATCTCTTTTCAATATTGAGAAATATTTTTTTAGGAAATCCAGTCTTAACTCTTATATAAGTCTGGAGGCAAATAACTCTTTAACATCAGTTAAATCACTAAAAGTGTTTTTGAAACCTCATAGTAAGTTTAATTTCATGATGTTTCAACATAATGTTAAAAAATTAACGCTCTAAGTAATAAAGTCAAAACACAAAAAGCTAAAGGTTAGGCCTTTTAAAAGAGCTGTTTATTTACTAAAAAGAAACAATAACATAACTTGTTCTGTAGCAATACTAATAGCTTATTCTTTGACAGTACTACTATGAAAGAAACAACATATGAGAAAACAATACCAGATTTCATTTCATGTATTTTTTTTTTGCATACATTTTAACAGCAGGAGTGAAGAAAATTGCTTTATAATTCACCCTGGGAACAAAGACTAAAATAACATTCATGTTCTTTGCTCTTTAAATTCTATTCATCATTGTACAGTTTTCAATCAAATTAGGATCTTTTGTCTGCATTTTGGTTAAAGTTAACACTACAGCATTTATAATGTGTCCTGTGGTGTTGTGAGCAGAACAGTTCTGTCCTGTTTAAGGAATCCACAATACAGCAATTTGACAGCACACTATCTTCAAAATCATGTACTACACAATTTAGTGGGGGAAAGGAAGGCAAACCAATGAAATGTGAAAGATATTCAAATATTTTCACAACAAGTGAATAATAATTATCAAACTAAAGTTTTTTATGTTTTGTGCAAAAAATACAATTTTAGAGAAAAAAAAAGAATTAATATATGATTGTTATGTGGATTATACTTGAAAAGCACTTAAAATTAAATGCTTTTAGTTCTGGCAGTCCCTAAAACATTATGTTCCAAAAACACAGGTCATTTTATATGAAAAAGTTGGAACAAATACTTTATATATGTTTATATACTCCACAGACTATAAAAGGTGTATCTATAAGCAAATTCTAAGGTTCCCCTAAATCTATAATTACAAGCCTGTGTCATTAACACAGCATGAAACACTAAATGACACAAAGCATTATAAACTTATTCAAAACACAGAAATATGTAAGCATATGTTATTTTCCTTGACAATCAGTCCAGGCTATCAAGTTTACAGCATAGAAATGGTAAGTATTTTAAGGCTACAGCATTTTAAACTCCTACAACACACCAAATAAATATACAAGTTTATGATGTAGAGATATCTTGCATGTAGTGTAATTGGTCCTTAGTGAAAGCAGATCTAAAGCATTTATCAAATTCTCCAATTTAAACTTCTTAAACAAAAGTTAGATTTTGGCTGAGAAATATCATTTATCATCATTGTTCTTTTTCTCTTTATTAAGCAAGCCCATTTTATATCTAATAACTGTCTGTTAAGTTGAAGCTTTCTCAATCTTTTGTTTTGCTACCTCCATTACATTCTAAGCCACTGCAACAGTTAGAAACCAAACAGCTTTTGTTAGGCAGAAATTTCCCTCATCAGTTTTTCTGCATTAATATCATCTTCACTTTTCTTCATGTGTGCTTATTTATCAATTAGTATTTTTTCTTCTTTTTGCTTCCAACTTATTTCTCTTACTATATATTCTTGTCACAGTTGAAATAACTGTTAATTTCACCCTTTCATAATTCATTTATAATATATCTTTAGTAAGATGTATTAAGGAATTTTTCCAAATTTTTGTGTAGGTGTTTTACATACAGTTAAGAAATTCCTGTAAGCTGGATGTGCAAAAGTCATAAACATGTACTAATCCATTCAGTTAGGTAAAGGTTACATATGGCAATGATTATCTCATAAAAATTCATACTGCTTTGACCCTGTGTCAGTGTTCACTCCTTGAGGTGGAGTGAACCCACAATAAGTTCAATAATATAGACACAACGTGTGCTGGAAAGAGATGTAGTGCAGGGATTAGTCAATAGTACATGATGTCACCAGGCAACCTCTACTAGCAGCTGTACCTGCAAACGTTTTATTTCTCACTAATGCTCAACTGAAAATATAAGCTGTGATAGAAAGTTTACAACACACAATTTGTTATATGACAAATAATCATTAACTACATAAGCTAACATAATAATAAATTTAATGTCAAACTGATGCATAAAATGGTATCCATGGGACATTCCATAATAAAAATAATGTATACAATGTCAAATCTTAAAAACATTTGATAGTACTAAAATTAAACTTATTTTAATATGAATATTGGTAATCATGTAAATCCCAAAGTTAAAAAATCTAAACAAGCTCAATTATTAGTGAAATTCAGTTAAAATATGTATAGGCATAATAGAAAACAAAAGATTCATTGATATTGGTAATAATTAAAGAACTGATTTTAAGAATGCTGCAAGTGTGTATATATATATATATATATATATATATGTATGTGTGTGTCTGGTAGCATGTGAAAGCTGATTCAAGCAAGCATGTATGCAATGCAATTTTAATGCAGGGCAGTTAGTGAAACTTGATAATCAATTACATTCAACTAAACTAATCAGTTAATCTCCCACAAGACTTAAATAGTTGGAATAATCAAAAATATAAATTTTGACTAGCTGATTCTTTTCAGGATTCATGACATTAATAGATTAAGCTGAACAATGAATAACCATAACTGTAATATTTCTTTAACTTAGATAGCACAAACATCTTAACTTTTTCAACCACGTTATTAATCTAACGTGGTATTAATCTTCCATTCACCTTATTTCCTGTTTTTTAAAGTAATTTTCTAATTACCCTTGGTTTCATGTGATACACTTCGTCTGTAGGTTGCCATCTACTCATTTCGCAAAAATATTTTTATCTAAAAACATATTTTCAAACAATTTCTTTAAAAAAAAAAAATTTGACATTTCCTATTTGGCAGATGTCTTGCTAATGCCAACTAAATGCCACCATGCTGTTGCCATTATATTTGTTTTTAAGATGCACAGAAACCACCCTTTAATCCTCTGTAAATCAAAAACATTGATGATAATGAAGCTCCATGCACTGTTTTCCCACTGTAAGGTGACACCACAACACTGATACTTTCTCTTCATCACAATATTCTAGCTTCACTTTTAGTTTGGGTGTTTATGTTTTTAAAGCCCACAAGTAATATACCAAGATGCTTCAGGAATTAAAGTAGTAATTCCTTAAATGTAAAGGCAGACAACATTATTGTAAAAATAAATAAATAAAAAGAGTTGGTTGCAAGGTTAGTTTACCAACTGAGCTATAATAGAAGATAGATATGCTGTCAGTAATGGTGATATATAGACTGTCAGATTGGAAAAACTATTTAAGATTATCAATATTACTGAATCACTGTAATGTTTGATGTTTGAATATTTTATGGTTGGGAATGTAATTTA